GGATGGAAAGGCCTAGGGACAAGGAGAAGGAGGTGGAGAAGAGGAGAATGAAGCCAGAGACCAAAAGGGAAGGAACTAAGCATGGGGAGAGCTCAGAGCCCCCCGTGCCAGCCTGGGGACTCACGGTGGAGCTGAGGGGAGGCACGCCCCGGTCGCGGGCGGCGATGGTGAGGTTGTAGAAGGGGATGTTCTCGCGGTCCAGCTCGGCGTCCTTCCGCACCCGCAGCTCTCCTTCCACCGGTGAGATGACAAATTCCCCTGCCGGAGAGAGCGGGGCCCTGGCTCCCACCGTGCTTTGGCTCCCCAAGGAGGGGCTTGTTTGGGAGCTGGGGCACCATGGCAGGTTTGGGGACAAGATCATGTCCCGTTACTGCAGGTACAGGAGGATTGACAGCTGGGGACTCTGATGGGTGCACCCCCAGGTAGCAGCAGGAGAAGGGGTTGGGGTGAATGGTCAAACAAGAGGTGCCTGTCCCTGTTTTCTGGGCCTTTCTGAAGATGCCAACAGCCCCTCTGTGCCCTGGGATAGCCAGAGCAGGGTTGGCTACACAGCACTGACCCTCCATGAGCCAAAGGCCTTGTCCTGCTTGTTGTGGAAAAGCTTTGCAGTGGGCTCAGCTGGGAGATGGGACTGGGCTCTGCCTTCCAGATTCACTGGACCAGTCACCACTCCCTTCACCGAGGGACATCCAGATGTCTCCATGTTTAGGGATGCCCCTAGTACCCCTGCCATCTGCACCGTGGTGCTGGTGGAGCTGTGAGTGCTGGAGAGCAACTCGGTCCCCCAACACCCTGCAAACCCCACAGGGACTCGGGGACAAGGCTCAGTTTCTCTTTCTGCACTTTTTTTTCCCCTTTTTCACTTCTTTTTGCCTTTATTGCTCAGCAGTTTTTCCCCCTTCCCTCCACCAGCCCCAGGCACCCCCTGCCCGGGCACGAACAGGTTAAGTTTCCTGTTGCTCAAACAGGATTTCCTGGTGTCGACAGGCCGAGCTGGGAGGGAGGATGGCGTTTCTGAAGCGCTTCCTCCCCGCGCTCCTGCGAGCCAGGCTCCTCCACGGGGCAGCCAGGGGGACAGGGGACACCCCGTGCGTGTCCCCACTCACCCAGGGGGTCCCCGGCGATGATGCTGTATTCCACTTGTCCGCTGGGCCCCGAGTCGCCGTCGTGGGCCAGGAAAGTCCAGACACGAGGGCCGGGCTGGCCCTCGGTGACATCGAAGGGCCCCTCGTAGGGCCGCGGGAAGGTGGGACAGTTGTCGTTGATGTCATTGAGGTTCACCAGCACCTGCGGCCACGGCGAGAGGCAGGAGGGTTGTGAGAGGAGAGGGTGGAGGGGAAGGGAAGAGCACCCTGCTGGCCACGAGCATGGGAAGCTGTGGAAGGCACAACACCTCCTGTATTTCTGGTTTTCTGGGCTCACCAGACATCCATCTCACCGCCCAGAGATTCAAACTCGGTTGCTCCTGATCGTGCCCGCCCTACACGCACACTGCAGGACTCCAGCTGCACACTGCCAAACCTCTGGGCCACACACCATGGGGGAACTCAACCCAGAAGCCCAGTGTCCCCCACATCCATGTCCAAGCAGGACAAAACCACAGAGATGAGTCTGGAGACATGCAATCTCTGCAGCCAGCTGGCTCACTCCTCTACCTCCAACAAACACTTAATTCCTAATGCTGGGCAAACTTTAAAAAATTGACAGCTTGCATCCTTGTCCCAACAAAGCCACCACTGGTGGTACAGGTGGTTATGAGAAAGACACTGGAAATGAGGAGTTTTCTGAGCTTCTGGTTGAAGAACAGTGAAACCCACCAGATGGGCATTTGTTGCTGATTAAATCTAATCTTTACAGAGAGTACATCAAAGATTCTTCCCTGTTTCCTAGCAGTGGAGAAAACAAACACTGTCATGCCTTATCAGGGTCCCATCACTTGGGATCTCAAATAATCCCTAAACCTCCTCCTAAAAGCTGTGTTTTCTTACACTGCTGGCACAAACTCTTGGAGCAGTAGAGGGAGGGTGTTTCCATCCTTCCTGGCTTCGGTGCTTGTTGCTGAAGGGGTTTCCAAGTTTTCGTGTCTCTGCTTGAGCCAAGCGCAGGGGAAGATCTGCCCTCGCCTGCAGTGCATGGCAGCTGTGCCTTCGCTGCCTGCAGTTAAACCCTGGCTCTGTCCTGGGCCAGGAAGCCATCCCCAGCACCATCAGATGCCGAAATCTGAAGGCTTTCCCTTCGTCCAAGCATGGACTCCCACTGCCAGGCTTGTGTGGACAGATTTTATCCATAGAAATTTCCCACACCGGTACCTCCCCTTTAGTTTTTCTTTTTTTTTCCCTTCACACACAAGAATTTATCTCCTCTTGGGGGATTACAAAACCTGTGGCTCAATATCAGGGTGAGGTACAACGGTCCATGGCAATCAAGACAGAAGGTTTAGCCCATCCCTGCCACCTGCTGACCACCAAATCAATCTGGGCGTGCTGTAGAATTTGTCAAATTTTGGTTTTGGTCACAAAAACAATCGGTGCACTCTATTCCTGCAAAATATTTGCTTTGGAGCTGCTCGCCTGCCCTCCCCAGTCTGAGCAGTGCACTGAGTTCAGGTCACCATGGCCCAGGGAAAATAGAGCTACAGAGAAAAGCAACATAAAAATGACTAAAGGCTTTAAATAACCTCCTTACAAGGGAAAAGGGAATTTTCAAAGCACATAAATAGCAAGAAAAGATAAAGATGAAGCTGAAATTAATGTTATAGCTATGCTTCACTCCCTGCTGTCCCTTCAAGGACCAAGAGGACATTTCAAGAAAACATAGGAGGAGAAGCTCCAGGAGTTTCTTTGTGTCTTTGCAGGACCAAATAACTGGGTTAATTAACCCAGAAACACCTCTTGTGCATGACCCTGTTTTGAAACACCCTTGAGGGAGCAAGGCGACAGCAACTGGGCAAACAGGCCACATCTGGCTGAAGCAACTGGTGACCACTGGGAAGGAGATGTGAAACTGCTCTCCAAGTGGGAACTCCCTGACCCCAGAGAGGCCAGGGTGTTGCAAGCCCCCTGCCAGCTCCTCACCGTGGCTGTGGACGTCAGCCGCCGCGAGACGATGGGGCACTGGTCGGTGGCGGTGACCACCAGGGTGTAGCGCCCGTGGCTGATCTCGTAGTCCAGCTCCTTGACCGTGCGGATCTCCCCCTGCAAGGACAGGGCAGTGAAGGGACAGGCACGGGGACACGCGCGCAGCGGGGCCGGCGGCCGCACTGACCGTGGCGTTGTCGATGTGGAAGGTACCCAAGATGTTGCCCTCGGTGATGGCGTAAGCCACCGTGCCGTTGGGTCCCTCGTCCTGGTCCAGGGCCTGCACGGTGACCAGGCTGGCGTTGAGGCTGGAGGGGCCCTCGTCCAGGGTCACCTCGTAGAGCTGCTGCCGGAAGGCGGGAGCATTGTCATTCTCATCCAGGATGGTGACGTACACCGTGGTGGTGGCCTGTGGGACACGGGACATCATGGTAAGCACTGTGGAGGCATTTGCTGGGCAGTCAAGGCTGAATCTGTCAAGGGCAGTGACCAACAATGGCTCAACACTGCCAAGAGACACAAAAAGCATGCAGGGCTCCAAGTGAAATGAGCCGTGGCTTCAGATGCACTTGCAGGTGACAGAGATAAATCAGAGATTTAATCACATCCTTGTTCCCAAGCAAAGCGTGTCTCTGTGGGATCCCTCCCCTTTTCCCAGTTTACCATTGCTGGCAGCACCAGGGAGCAGCCCATGGGCACAGGGAAAACCAGGCACTGAGCCCCACTGTGCCTCCCTGCCTTTGGAGGAGGCATGTGTGAGTCCTTGTCTTGCCACCTTGATTGCCACTAACAAGTGTGGCAATATGGATGGAAAATCCTGGAGTCAACGCTGCCATGGCTCAGGGGAGGAGCAAAACCAAATATCTGGGACCACTGGACCAACCTCCTCCCATGGTCCCACCACCTCCCTGCTGACCACAACCTCACTGCTGGTCAGGCTCAGCTGGATCAGAGCCTCTTCCAGTGGTCCCTGGCCCTGCATGGGCACCTGGTCCTGTCTGTCTCACAGGGGTGTCACCCCACCTGGGATGGGCTGGTGTTTATTGTTTATGGCACAGAGCTGGGGGCTTGGAACAATAAACCATTTCCTTGGCATGTCTGGGCTTCATGCCCACACCTGCCCCCAGCAACAAATTTCTCCCAGCCAGCCAAGGGTTATGTTTTTGGCAGGAGCATCAGAGCTGTGTTTGCTGTAAAAACCACAATGCCACACCGTAATTAGGTACTTTTCTATTTCCCTGCACACTCCGGATTCAGAGCAGGCAGGCAGCAAGTTTCCTGAGGGTTGCAAAACTCCTCATTCTCCGGGCTCCACTTTCCAGGGAAGGCTGACTGGAAATGAGGCAGCTCTCAGCTGCAGCCAGAGGCTTTGTTGATGCCTTTGGAATTTGGAGAGCAGCTCCAGGAGGAGCTATGTGTCAGACCACGGGGCTGTTTTGCTATTTCAGGGCAAAGTGCAAACGGGCTGTAGGAGGGGGAAGATGGAGCTTTGCTCCCATTTTTTTTTGGGAAAGCTCCGTTTCCTTTTCCAAGATGGCATTGCTCTGAGTAACCCCTCCCTGCACTTGCTGCCCGTTCATCCCAGGACTGCAGGGATCCATCCCAGGAGGTTCTGCCTCCTTAATCCTCACAAACAAGGCAAAAACAGTAATTGAGAGCAAAGTTACAAGCCGGCCCAAGGAATCAGCTCCTTCTGGGAACAGGGATGGAGACCATCACCCACAAGTCCCTTGGTACCCTCCTTAGCACCCCAAAAGCGCTCTGAGCGAGGCTGTAAGGGGAGAAACGCAGCCGAGGCACCCTTCATGAGGAGGAGGAGGGCTCCGAAGGCTTCCCCACCCCGGGCGCTCCCTGCAGCCTCTCACCTCCGGGGGGTGCTCGCCCTTCTCGGCAGCGCTGCGCTGCGAACCTCGATGAAATTTCCTGTGTGTCCCAGTCCGGCTGTGGCTGCGGGGCTGCTCGGAGCGTGCGGGGGCTCTGCAGAGGCCACCTCAGCCCGGCCACCCCTGCGACATGGGCACAGCGCGTCCCCGGCCTGGGCTGCTGCTGGCTGCGCTCTGCCTGCTCGCCTCCCACGGTAAGCCCGGCTCGCTTCGCTCTCCTCCCTGCCCGCAGAAACTCTCCCCACCGGGGCTGTGCTCCGGCACAAGCAATCCGGAGCGTTCGGGGCATTATTCACTCTCTTTCCCCGTGACTTTGGTGTGTGAGGGATCAAGCCAGCCTTTCACACGGCGCTGGGGCGAAGGGGCTGCAGGGGAGCTGCTGTTCTAAAACTCTTGAGAGTTTTTTTTTTCGCTTTCTTCCTCTGCTTTGATCTAACATGCGTGGAAGGGAAGCAGCCCCCTGTCCCGGGCTGGAAAAGCTGCTCCGTTCACTTTTCCCTGGCACGGGGGGTGTCCCACGGTGAGAAGAGACCCCTCCAACAGTGCAGGGGGAGCTGGAGAGGTCTTTTCTCGAGAGAGAGAGGGGATTTGTGCCCCCGGGGCTGGGATGCCCTCTCTAAGGATGCTGCCGGGTGGGCAGCCAGGGCCACCGAGCTGCCCTGGCCCGGAGTGAGCGATTCCCGGGGCTGGCAGCGCTCCCCAGCCCGCTGGCTGCTCTCGGCGGGATGGATGCTGTGGGGAGGGGATGCTTCACGCCTGAGCCCGCAGCAGCCCCGGCAGAGCAGCGTTCCCGTGCGGGGCTCCGGGGCCAGGCAGGCAGCGGGGGCGGTGGCGTTAACAACGCGGTCCCACCCTGGACGGAGGCTCGGAGAGGGAAGCTGGGAAGGAGCGTGATCCCTCCTCCCTGCCCCGCGCAGGCTGGGGGGAGCATCGGACTTGGCTTCACCCTCTCTCCTGGGATAAAGTGGCTGCCACCACGATTTCTCCGGGAAAACATCCCCAAAGGTGCCCCAATGGGGCCAGAGGTGCCGTCTCCTCTCCTGTGTGACAGCAAGGCTGGCGTGGATTGAACCACGTTTTCCTTCTCATCCGAGCCATCAGGGAGCAATTCCCCGCACGTCCACGGGGATTTGGATGATTTCATTGATGCATCTGGGGCGCTGGGACTGAGCTTCAGACCTTCTGCAGTGCAATGAGCTGGGATGCTGATGTTCGGCGTGAGGCTGGTGCCAGAGGAACTGAGCTTTGCGCAACCCCGCGCCTGCCAAAACTTCTTGAGCCCCTGGCTAATTTTAGCAGGGATTGATGGAGAAGCAGCCCTTGGAGACATCCAGCTTGGGGATGCTGGCAGCAAGGTGGATGGGGAAGTGACTCCTCTTCCCTTAAAGAACAGCAGCTGAGCTGGGCTTCCCAAAATCACATCCCAAGTGCCGTCCCTGAGCCAGGGGTGTGCTGGAAGAGGAGCAAGGCAGGACCCCCGAGGCTGCTCCCTTCACTGCCTGGATGATGGGAACCCCTCTGCTGGGAAGCCCATTGGTGGAAACCCCAATGCTGGGAAGCCATTTGGCCCCTGGGGTGCAGGAGATGAGGGCTGTTAGCACGTCTCAGGCATCTCCAGCAAGTTTTTTTGTCTCCCCTTTCCTTCGTGCTCGAGGTATTTCTGCACATCTCACCTGGCTGATAACTGTGAGGCACAATCACAGCGCAGTGATGATGGGGCTCGGGGCACTTTGATGTGAGCCTGCTATGAGAACTGCCAGAAGAGGAAGCAAAGCAAGCAGAGATCCTTGCCCCATCTCTGTCTCTCTCCTCTGCAGCAGGTGAGCCCCTCCAAAGGCTCTGTGCCCTGATCCCTGCAGGATCATGAAAAGAGTAGAAATCCCTTCTGCCAAGCACAGGAGGGCAGCTCAAACACCTGCTTGCCAGGGCCAGGGACCAAACATAGGAGAAGCAGCCAGGAGAGGCTTTTGGTCACTGACCCAGAATAAAATCCTTATTTATCTGAGCTGCTGGTCAGCCAAGCAGCACAGGTTTCTGCACTTTTTGTGTTTCTGCTTTGTGTGAAAGCAGAGTTCCCAGCTGTCAGGAGAGTGATGCCAGCCAGCACTGGGATGTGCCAGCACTGCACCGGGCTCTGTGCCCCACCAACACAACACCACTGGCTGCAGACAAAGTTACTGAGGAGCCAAGGAGGAAAAGGGACACTTCTGGCACCTGCTTGAGACCCCCTCTGCCTTTACCAGATGGTGACAAGACAACAGCTCTCAGCTCAGCCCTCAGCTGGTCCAGCCAGCTGGAGAGGCACAGAGATGGGCATCCGGCTTAATCCTGGCATTTGCCAGCAGCTCTGACTTCAAAGGGAACGGCTTGGCAGGGGTGTGGAAGGAGCCAGGCCTGGGCTCTGGGCATGGAAGAAGCCCAGGAGATTAGGGATCCGTGGGCTTTGGCATAAAGACACCACCAGAAGACGTCTCCTCTGGGCTCCATCTGGCATCCAGCGTGTGTTTGAAGCCTCGGTACCTCTTGGGGAGGGAGCACCAACTGCCCTGGCACTGCTCTGGGCTGCACCGTGCCTTGCCAGCTGCCTTGCCCTCCACTGCAGGGCTCTGAGAGCCTTCCCCCACTGAGGAGAAGGAAGGGGAGCCTGCAATGCTGAGGGTTGCACACATGGTAACCTCTGCCCCTCCCCGAAAGCGTGGGCTGAGCTGAATTTCCATCCAGACGGTTCCCATCAAGCCCTGGAGGTGGAGGCTGGATGGCTCAGCAAGGCAGAGCCTCACAAAACAAGGACGAGCCCTCCTTCATCCGAGGGGGTGTGTGGAAAACAAAAGGCTCCTGCAGGCACTTTTGGAAGGTGTTGGAAGTGTGGCTTCCTCCAATAGAGCCCTGGCTTCCCTTCCTGTGGCTCCCAGGAGAGCCCCGACGTGAATGGGGCACTTCCCCTTGCAGCAGGTATCGGGAGCACATCTGAAGTGCCTTTTGTGCTCAGAACCCCTCCAGCCTGGCTGTGCACCGTGGCCCCAGCAGCAGCCCAGCAGAAGGAGAAGTCAGGGCCTGAAAACGAGACTGAAAGAGGCAGTGCTGAGCTGAGGCTGCACAAACCTCAGCCCGGAGCAGCTCCAGGCCGTGCCCTGCACGTGCTGTGGGGAGCAGGAAGCAATTATCCAGCATGGTCAGGCAAAGGTCACAGCAGCCCTGCCTCTGGGGACTTCAGAGCAGGGATGCAATGGGGCTGATCCCCCTGCCAAAGCCTCCCTGTCCCTGCAGAGCATCCCTGCCGAGCATCCCTGCAGAGCATCCTCGGGCAGCGACTCAGTGGCTGCTCCTGCACCACCACCCGAGAGTCAGAGATAACCACCAGGGCTGGGAGGCACGATTTTGGTTTCATCTGGTGACACAGGGCTCTCTGGGTGGCCCAGCAGTGGGAGCCCTGGGCTGGCTGGCTCATCACACCCAGCCTGTGACTACTGACGCCCTCGATATAGCAAGCGAGAAACCTCAAAGTGAAACGTGGCACAACAGGATGTTACCAAAATAAAAAAGAAACATCTCGTCCTTGTAGCATCTTCTCCGCTGCAAACCAGCCCCATGAATCTCTTTTCCACTGTAATTTGAAGTAAATAAACCCAGAATCAGCTTTTCCTCCTGCTTTCAAAGCGATGCTAGCGCTTCTGAAAACATGAAAGAGTGGCAGGGCCAGAGCACCAAAACCTCTCCTGGCTTTGCACTTTTCCATCCCCTCAAGCACAACTCCCCTTACCCAGCAGAACCCCCCACCCACGTGCTGGGGAAAGACTAGCAATGCCTCTTGCTCCCACTCTCCTGCCACACCTGCTGCCCACATTCCAGCATTTCTTTCTGAAAATTGTTTGCATTTCCCAGCAGCTCCTGGCTGTCAGCATCAGCCGGTTCCCCCTTTTCCTCCCTGGGGGCTGAGAAACAAGGAGGGCGGGACCTGCTCCCCGCCTCATCTGGGGCAGAAGGAGGGGCACTGCTCCTCCTAGAACTTTTCTGTTTGTTTTCGCTCCTGTTTGTTATTTTTCTGCAGCTGGCCCAGCTGTGCTGGTGTTTCCTCCTTTGCAAGCCATAACCCTGCTGCCTTGCTCCTCCTCTGCCTCCCTGCCCCACACCTCTGCTGGCCCCAGGGAGCTCCTGCCTCCCTGCTGCAGGTGCTAAACCCTCTTTAAAGCATTTCTCTCATGCAGAGTTGATTTCTAGGGTGAAGTTGTGCTCCCAGCCCCATTACAAAATCCTGCAGGATTTGGGTTAGAAGGGAGTTAAAGATCATGCAGTTTCAACATCTTCTCCTATCCCAGGTTGTTCAGAGCACCATCCAGCCTGGCCTTGGGCACTTCTAGGGATGGAACAGCCACAGCTCTTGTGGGCAAACCCTGCCAGGGCCTCCCCACCCTTTGCCAGCATCGGTTTGGGTGGCATGGTGGGTTTGCAGTGCTTTTTTTGGCCAGTTTTGCTACAAAAAGTTGTTTTACTGTCAGAACCCAGGACATTCTTCTGGCTGTCCTGGGTGATTCCAGACCCTGCCAAGGGGCTCAGAGACCTTGGCATGGAGTCACAGACACCTGTGCTTTTGATTTTAGCCCATGGAAACAATTGCCAACTTTGTGTGAGGAGTTACAAGCCACAAGGGTTGAGTGGAATGATAGTGAATTCATCACAGGGTGAAAAAATAGAATTTTTGGGGTTCAATTTCTGGGGTTAGAATGGGGGTTCAAGAGGGTTCAATTTTTGGGGTTAGAATGGGGGTTCAAGAGGGTTCAATTTTTGGGGTTAGAATGGGGGTTCAATTTTTGGGGTTAGAATGGGGGATTCAAGAGGCAAGATGGAGGAATCTGGGTGTTTCCTGTCTTTCTTCTTCTTCTTGTTGTCCTCCATCTTCTGCTGGGATGGTGGCACTTTTGGATTGGTTTAGAGTACAGACAGACTGTCTGACATAGGTAATAGGTATTGGGAAATTATTGTAAATCAAGTACAGGTGGTTTTTAGTATGAAAAGGTAACACTACCCACAGGGTGGGCAGTGTGCCATGAACCAACCTGCTGGACAGATCTCAGCAGGTCAGAGAAAGAAAGGAACAGATAAGAGAAAATAAACAACCTTGAAAAGCAGAGCTGAGGAATCTCGACTTCTTCTTTGGTCACAGGGGTGGAAAAAGACTTTTTAATACCTTAGGAGTAATTTCAACAATGCAAACCCCGGGGTAAGCGCAGGGTCTGACGCGGTGCCTTGTCCCTGGCAGGAGGAGCAGCAGCGTTCCTGATCAGCACCCCGTACTCGCTGTGTGTGTGCCCCGAGGGCCAGAACGTGACCCTGAGCTGCCGTGTCAGCGGCGCCCTGGCCGAGCGGCACGACCTGCTCTACAAAACCTGGTACTTCAGCAGCACGGGCGACCAGAGCTGCTCCGACAAGCGCCACGTCCGCAACGTCACCGACAGGGAGCTGCACCACGACCTGGCCAGGCACCACAACGCCTCCCAAAAACCCTCCTCCCCGGGCAGGCCGAGCGGCCACCGCGGCGTGGAGCTCCTCCTTGACCACCACGGCGCCTTCCACATCGTGGTGGCCAACGTGACGCTGCAGGACAGCGGGAATTACTGCTGCTACGCCGTGGAGGTCAGCAGGGAAGGGCACGGCAAGCCCCACACCCTGCAGGTGGCCCATGGCTTCGTGGAGCTGCAGGTCCAACGAGGTGAGGTTGCCCTGCCAGCCCTGCCAGGGCACAGTGCCAGGGAAAGGGTGATGGGAGATGCAGCTCTGGGAATGGGAGGTCATGGTGAGCCCCACACCCTGCAGGTGGCTCATGGCCTTGTGAAGCTGCAGATCCAGAGAGGTGAGGCTGCCCTGAAAGCTCTACCAGGAAAAGGGTGCTCAGGGATGCAGCTCTGGGCATGGGAAGGGCACAGCAAGCCCCATACCATGCAGGTGGCTCATGGCTTTGTGGAGCTGCAGGTCCAGAGAGGTGAGGATGCCCTGAAAGCCCTGTGCCAGGGAAAAGGGTGGTGGGGGAATCAACACTGGGGATGGGGAGGTCATGGCGAGCTCCACACCGTGCAGGTGGCTCGTGGTTTTGTGGAGCTGCAGATCCAGAGAGGTGAGGCTGCCCTGAAAGCTCTGCAGCCCTGCCAGGGAAAGGGTGATGGGGGATGCAGCACTGGGGATGGAGAGGTCACAGCAAGCCCCACACTGTGCAGGTGGCCCATGGCTTCGTGGAGCCATAGATCCAAAGAGGTGAGGCTACCCTGCCAGCCCTGCCAGGGCACAGTGCCATGTGGGGGATGCAGCACTGGGGATGGGGAGGCAGCTGTGCTGATGCTGGAAGCACAGGGCACTTCTAGATGCAGTTCCAGAAGTCAAAGTTGAAGGTTTCACTCTCAAGCAGTGAAACATTAAAAAAAAAAAGGAAAAAAAAATCTTAACTTGAGAGGCTGGAATGCAGTAAAATCCATGGTACATAGTTTTAGTGATCTTCAACCTCCTTCTGGCAGAGAGGAGAACAAGGCTCAGCTTGAAAGGAGCTGGCTGGTGGTGCAAGCCAGGCTGAGGGCTCACAGATAACCTTGGGACAGCAGCCCAGTGGGAGAGGCAGGAGGGAGGGGAAGGCATCTCCTGGCCTTGATTTGCAGTGTTAGCTATTCTTTTAGACTAAAAAAAAAATAAAATTGTCTGCACAGTCAGGAATGGGCCCTGCTGCCATGGACAAAGGGGGTCTGGCAGCAGGGATCTCACTGAACACTTTTCAGGATTAAATTCCTGCTTTGGGCTGCTCTGGGATGATGTTCTCAATACCAGGGAGTAAAGGCAAGGGCAGCCAGCAGGTCGGGAGTTCTGTGGGGCCTGAGCCAATCCTGAGCTTCTCTGTTCTCTTCTGCAGGCAAAGGAGGCCTTCAAAACTGCACATTTCACACTGCCACCGGCAAAGGTAAAGGGCAAAACCCCTCTCTGCTGGCCATCCTGGCCCAAGCATTCCCTAGGGATCAGTGCCCACACACAGCCTCACATCCTGGGGTTGGGAGGGTTCTTTCCAATGCTGTTCCAACAGGGAGGGCATGTTTAGAACAACTGTTCTGTTGTTTTAAAGCCCCTGAGCCCCCTCCCACAGCAGGGGTTTAGTGGCTGCTGCCATGAGCAAAAGGGAAGGGACAGAAAGGCAAAGAGTTGCAGGAGCCTCTTGCTGCACCCCGAGCCTGGGCCACCTCTGCCTGAGCAGGGGAAACCCAAACCTTGCATGAGTGCTCAGACAGCGTGGGGCTCCCCCAGAGCTGTGTCTAGACATGGAGATGCCCCCACTTCACTGTGCAGCTGTGTTGCTCTGTCTGCCCCCCTTTGCTGGCTTCTAAATGGGCAGATTTGGCTAAAATTATTTTGCAGCATGCCCAGACAAGGCAAGCAGTTCCTGCTCCCCATGAGCTGTGCTTTCTTGCCCCTAACCTTCAGTCTCAAGTGGTGGGACAGCCTGCTCTGTCAGCAAAAAAGAGAAAAATGTCCCCTCCCAAAACACAGGCACACAGGGAAAGAAGCTGCTTCCTCACATGGATGCACAGGAGAGGAACTGAACCTGCCCCTGATTTAAGCAGCCCTCAGCCTCACCACAAGCCATCCCACAAGGACCTTGATGGCCACAGATGTGCCTGCAGGCTGCCAGCTTTTCTGGGAGCTCCTGGGGGTGGCATTCTCAGGGGCACATTCATTAGCAGAGGGTGACAAGCCCTTTGATGCCCGAGCACTTTGAGGCTGGCACTGGGTCAGAGTCAGTGCCCCAAAGCTGCTGGGAGCCTTTATCAGGGCCTCTCTCCACATAATTAGAAGACCAAAAACCTTGGGATGTCCTGCAGCATTGAAGGGGTTTGGCTGGGGTTCTGACAGGATGCTTCAGAGCTTATCTCCACAGCTGGCAATGCATGCTGGTGGTGTGGGACCACACTGCCTCAGCTCTGAGGCAACACAGGGCTGCCCTGTGCTGGATATAATGATCTTTAAGGTCTCTCCCATCTTAAACAATCTGTGATTTTGGGGGAGCCAAGGGAGGGAAGGTGGATGGTCGGGCTCATCTCTGCTCTTGTGTTGCAGACATCACGGCGGCCGCGCTGGCCACGGGCGCCTGCATCGTGGGCATCCTCTGCCTGCCCCTCATCCTGCTCCTCATCTACAAGCAGAGACAAGCTGCCAGCAGCAGACGTACGTGCCAGGGCCCGCTCTTCCCTCCTGGGCTGGCTGGGGTGTGCTCCAATGGGACCAGGTCCCACGGGTGTGGTGTGAGGTGCCCCAAGCACAGGGCCCGGCCAGGATTCTCCTGGAGCTCTCCTGGGAAGCACCAGGCATTCCTGCAGGCTGCTGTGGGACAGGAGGGGACACCAGCAGCGTGCTGGAGGCTCTGACACTGTGAGGATGCTCCCTGCTGAGCCTTTTCCCCCACACCCACAGTGAGAGCTGTCTCATTTTCTCATCCCTCCCTCCACTGCACACCCAAAACAGAAGCTTTGCCTTCTACGTGACTGAAGAGCATTATCTGCACTTTTTCTCACCTTCCCCTTTAAAAAGGCCCTGACATGTCTGTGGCCATAGCACAGGTGTCCCCTCCGCTGCCCAGCCCAGGCTGTGCTGAGGCAGAGCTGCTGCCCCTGCCTGGCTCCCCAGGATTTCAGTAATGAAGCGGAAAGGGGCACCACCTTTAACTGGCAGAGCCATTTCATCACCCTTGGGCAAGAGGGGCCCTGTGGTTTTCCTCTCCCAGCTCGGTGGGGGCTTTGGGGCTCCGAGGAGCCCTTTGGAGAAGTGGTTTGTGCAGCAGCAGCAGCAGGGCACAGTGCCAGCAGTGCCAGCCACCAGAATGGGAACTGTGCTTTGCACAACCACACCCTGCAGTTGCCCCTTTGGCTCCCACCTCCATCTGCAGAGCATCACCTGGATGCTGCTTCACCCCAGAGGGCAGGCAAAATCCAGGGGGGTTTTCTCTCAGGTGTCCTGGACCAGGTTATTCCCACCCAGCACCTTTCTTTGGCACAGTTTGGGCCAAAACTTGAGCATCTCAGCCAAGCAGAGCCCAGTAACAGGGGCTGTGGGAATGAGGGAATGCCTGACCTGGTGCTGCCCAGGCAAACAGGGGCAGCCAGGTGCCAGGTGGTGTTTGCAGAGCCCCAGGTGTGTGCTGAGTGCATCTGGGCACAAATGGGGCTGGGCTGCAGCTGCACCTCACTTCACCCCACTGCAGAGGTGTCCCTTCCCCTTCCTTGGAGCCTGGGATGTCCATCTGGGGAGTGAACAAGTGGGAGAGGGCAGGGATGCAGAGGAGGAGGTTTTAGGGCTAAAGAAGCAGGTGAAGGAGGGAGGAATGCCAAGGGATAGGAGGAATTGGAGGGGGATAAGACACCAGAGCCGAGCCCTGGCAGTGGGTCTGGGCCTGATGCTGGGCCCTGTGCTGCCAGCACTCACCCCACACATTTTGCCTTTGGCAGGTGCCCACGAGCTTGTCAGGATGGATAGGTAAGGAACCCAGGAGCTCCCAGCTCCTCACACGCCCTGCAGCCTGAATCGCAGACCCTGCACATCTCATCCTGCCCCTTGGATCTGGCAAAAAACCCCAGCCCAGCAGAATGAAAGGGCTGCTGGTGTCACCCCGCCCTGAGTCCTTTCCTTTTCTGGGAAATCACTGTTTCTCTTCCTTCTCTCCATGTGGAAAGTGCCTCCTTCCCTTTTTCAAGGGTCTGCCTCTCCCTGCACCCCAGGAAGAGCTGAAACCACTTGGGCTGAGCTTTCCCCCTGCTCTGGGCTCCCCATTTGCTCTCAGCTGAGATGCCACTGCCTGAAACCACTTGGCTGAGTTTCCCCCCCTGAATTGGGCTCCCCATTTGCTCTCAGCTGAGATGCCATGGCCTGAAACCACTTGGGCTGAATTTTCCCCCTTTCCCTGGGCTCCCCATTTGCTCTCAGCTGAGATCCCACTGCCCGAAACCACTTGGGCTGAACTTTCCCCCTGCACTGGACTGTTTGTTCTCAGCTGAGATCCCACTGCCTGAAACCACTTGGCTGAGTTTTCCCTCCTGAACTGGGTTCCCTGTTTGCTCTCAGCTGAGATGCCATGGCCTGAAACGACTTGGGCTGAATTTTCCCCTGCACTGGGCTCCCCATTTGCTCTGAGATTCCACTGCTTGAAACCACTTTGGCTGAACTTTCCCCCTGCCCTGGGCTCTCCATTTGCTCTCAACTGAGATTTCACTGCCTGAAACCATTGGGGCTGAACTTTCCCCCCTGAACTGGGTTCCTTGTTTGTTCTCAGATGAGATCCCACTGCCTGAAACCACTTTGGCTGAGCTTTCCCCCTGCCCTGGGCTCCTCATTTGCTCTCAGCTGAGATTTCACTGCCTAAAACCACTTTGGCTGAGCTTTCCCCCTGCCCTGGGCTCC